GAAAAAGAAATCAACATCAAAAGACTTCGAAGAGTATCATCAATCCGTGATTGAAAAGTGTTGCTGTGCACCGACTGGCCTTTTATTCCTCTCAGAAATGGCGACGCGCCCCTCGCTTGACACTCGTGACGTCACACTAAGACCTCTAGTTCTATTTATAACCTCTTTGTCCAAATGTCGTGTAGTCTCCCCTTAGGTATATCCTTATTTTTCCCAGCAAAATGTCACTTAAGGGAAGGTGCTACTGAAATGTCTACATCTTTAGATTCTTCATATACACGATGTCTTGTGTTATCACCATGTTCATATGATGTTGACAAAATGTTGCAACATGTTTGTAAAGACACCACGCAAAATTTGAACCCCATTAGTCTAAAATGGAAGCCTTAGTATTTCTAGTACTAAAATCTTACGAAATGAGGCAGTTTAGATAATCCGTTAAAGTAGTGTGGAAGAAAAGCAACCTTCACATAATGTTCCTCTCGGTCAGTGGCGGGGCGCCATTGGTGAAATTGGTGCAAGCGCTCCACTTAACCCCCCCCCCCCCCTTTCTAATTGTGCAAAACCAGTCAGTTCAATAGATCTCATACTAGCCTACGTCCTTGCGACCCGTCACCCGCTGGCTGCGCGCGCGCCATTGAAGAGACAGACAGCGAGGAGGGTTTATGCTCGTCGCACCACTTGTGGTACTGTCTGCTGGGAGCAAGCAAAATCTTTGCACCAAAGTTATTTTTGTCACTGTAGAGAAATCAAGGCATCGTTCTTCCCGCACAAGAAGAAAGATGCGTGAAACTGCTCTTCGCAGCACCAATTTGGTGCAAGCTAAAAATTTGATCCAAGTTACAGCTAGCCTACTATCTACTACACTAGTAGAGTCTATGGTAACTCAGTGAAGAATGGGTATCGAAACTTGTCGCCCTCTGTTGTGTAGCAAGTCCTGTTAGGTAAATTTTCAAATTGAGTCTAGTTGTTGGTGCTGCACGAAGTAATTAGAAATCTTTAAATCTTCTCAGATTGTGAGAATAGTGAGTTGTTAGTATTGTTTCACTTTATTTAAGTTTTTATGCAGTTTCATCGAGAAACAGTTGTAAATATCGATAGATGTAGATCCTACAGATTCTAACTGACTTTCTCTAGAAATATAGATGAATCACGTTGACCCTTTGCTTCTTGTACTATTCAGCAGGCTACAGTTAGAAGAGAAAGTGCGCATAAAAGAGCTAGGTCTCTCAGCCGCGTGATTTTGAGCTCAAGAAATGTTCACTTTTTTCCTGCACGTAGTATGATAAGTGAAAGAAATTGTACTGTTTCCATTACAAGTCTACTTTTTTACTGATCGATCAGACACTGACAAGGTTTGGTCACCAATCACACTCACTCTCTCTTTGCCTTTCTCTCTCTCTCTCTCTCTCTCTCTCTCTCTCTATATATATATATATATATATATATATATATATATATATATATATATATATATATATATATATATATATATCTGTGTGTGTGTCTCTCTCTCTCTCTCTCTCTCTCTCACACACACACACACACACACACACACACACACACACACACACACACGTACAGAGAGACTCGCAAAAAGCAGTAGAAAGAACAGACCACACCAGAGCGCCCGCCAACCGCTCATTACAATTTTAATAGTAGAAAGTAAGCCTATTGCCCATTTGTTGACTTTCAAATTATGCACCACCTTGTCTGCAACCCACGAGACGCCACTGCTCTCGGTTGACTAGGAATGAATGTTCGATCCATTCAAATCCCAATCTATCTATTGGTGCGCTCGTCTCCGAAAAGGAAAGTCTGTGTTCGAGCCTCTGTTTGGACACAGATTTTTTTCGCCCCCTCCTGCCCACCCAGCAGTAATGGATACCTGGCTTCGAGTTGGGGAAGTAAAGGCGGCGTGGAAATAAACTGGCCACCCTACCACAATGTGCCGAAGGTCCAGGAAGTTGTCTCACTAACGAGGTAATCCCCAATGTCCGGATCGGATGCAGGAACAACTTTACTTTACTTTACCCTCAATTACACTGAAGACTGAAATATGAAATATGACATGACTATTACGACTCCTATTTTAAAAGCATTACACTGGCTCCCAGTGAAAGAGCGTATCATATATAAAATCTGTTTAACTTGCTACAAGTGCTTAAATGATTTATCACCGGACTATCTAAAACAGCTTTTAACACCCTGTGTGCCTCCTAGAACGCTCAGATCATCTAGTGACAAAACAACCCTTGTTAAGCCTAAAATAAATTTCAAATCATATGGCCAACGCTCTTTTTCATATTTTGCCCCACTTGTTTGGAATAGGCTTCCAAAAACTATCAGAGAAGCAGAAAATCTAGAAATGTTTAAGAAGAAACTAAAATCATTTCTATTTTCATCATATTTCGATTAGACAGAATGCATCCAAGCTGTAGATCGTTGCGAGTTTGTATGTGCGTATGTGCATATGTATGTATGTGTGTATGTGAGTATGTATATGTGTGTGGTGCGTGCGTGAGTGAATATGTGTTTGCATGAGTATGTAACACTATGTATCTTTAAAATTGATTTGTAAATCCATTATATGTATCATGTTAAGCGCATAGAGCATTGCATAAGTGGATATGCGCTATATAAATGCAATCCATTATTATTTATTATTATTATGAAGATCAGTATCAGCAAGACCGAAGTCATGACAATTAGCAGGAGACCAGACAAAGTGGATATCAACATCAATGGACCCCAACTAAAACAAAGCAGAGAATTCAAATACTTGGGCAGTATTTTCACAGAAAATGGAAAATGAGACCGAGAAATAGAGACTAGATACCAGAGAGCCAACGCAGTCAGCTATCAACTCAGCCCTCTCCTGAAACATCCCAATATCCCTATGAGCACCAAGGCGAAGCTCATCAACTCCATTTTCCTTCCGACGCGCACATATCAGTGCCAGACATAGTCCCTAACAAAATCCCTGGAGAGGAAACCGGTCACGTGAGAGATGAAATGCTTAAAAAGAGCGGTCAACAAAATCAAGAAGAGACAAAATTAAAAATGAAGTCATAAAGGACACCGTAGGAGCAACACCAGTCCTACCACACATAGAAAAACAAAAGGTCAAGTGGTTCGGACATCTCAAGCGGATGCCCTCAAACCATCCAGCTCTGAGAGCATACAACATTAAATATTCTGGATGGAGAGCCAGAGGAAGACCAAGGCGACGATGGAGTGAATCTGTGACAGACACCCTCAGAGCTCACGGGATGTCCCTCCTACAGGCCACTCGCCTTGCTGCAGACAGACGCCTGTGTCTCCCCGCGACACCCACCGGTACAAGCGGAAGAAAAAAAAGTAAAGTACACTGAAGACGGTTATAACAGCAAACGTTGTATGTTTGGTAATTTTTTAAAGCATAATTTTTGTAGCACCTTCCCGTAAAGCCTTTATTTTCCAACTTCTTCCATTACTGGACTCTCTCTCTTTCTCTCATTACTCCAAAGAGTAGTCACGTATACTAAGGACGACAATACGTCCTATGTTAGACCTACCTCAAAAACTTGTTTAATCGTGCATTGGCAACGGTTTTATATCCTAATACATGCAATATGTCTGAGTGGTAGATCTATGCGTTTTTCCCCTCCAACCAAACCGAGCGAACAAACGACGCCACGCCACCTGCTGTTGCCACAAGGTTTTAATTCAGGGGAGATAATCGACAGAGACAGTCGTTCGCCAAAAGGATGGCATCGTCAGCCAGCTGTCAGGATGTACCAAGCTCAAAATTGTTGTTGTTGTTATAGTTGTTGTTGTTTTATTTTTGTTTTGATTTGTTCCGTTTTGTTCTGTTGTCGTTTGTTGTTGTTGTTGTTGTTGTTGTTGTTGTTGTTGTTGTTGTTGTTGTTGTTTGTTGTTATTGTTTTAATTGCACAGCTTCTCAATCTGTTGTGTTGGCTGCACATCCTCAAGAACTATTTTGCCGAAATTCAAATTAAAGGGGGGGGGGGGACAAACAAGAAAGAAAAACATTACACATAATGTATTCATATTTTTTATAACGAAAGTTTTTTTTCCTCCCCACTGGACAATAATACTGTCGGTGCTTTGTACATTTTATCACCTTGCGGGCGACATGTAGATAAGGAGAGAAAAGAAGTAGCGGAATGCAGGGGGAATGCAATTTGTGACAGACATAGAAAAAAGAAGAGAAAAGGAAAATGGTAAAAAATCAGAAAAACTCCATCAATTTCACCTCTGTGTGGCATGAGTCTTGAATAATAATTAGAACTCGAAAGCAAATTCTTTTGCAATGATTTTAATATCTGATTAACAAGGGAAACAAGCTTGTGAGTCCCAACAAATCAAAGCGTATTTCTTTCTTGAAGAACAACAGACGTGAAAAATTCCACGGGTGGAGTACGCTAAAAATCGTTGCACTGTGAACATTGCGCAAAAAAGGAGCTCTATATAAGTGACCGCTTAGTATAAACACGCTGTATAACTTCCAGAGTAAGTATATATATATATTATATACATAATAATATATAGGTTTAATGACCCTATAAATACTATCAAATTCCTGCGAGACCTCCGAATTTAACGTTCGTCTCCAACAGGGCTGATTCAAATAATTTGTGCGCTAAAAAAAAAAAATCCGAAAATTAAAAAAATTCAAGAGTGCTTGATCTAGTATTCGAACCATGACCATCCACTCAATAATCCAGCATGATACCAACTGAGCTGTGAATTCTACAAATACACCTACGAAATCTACAAATACCCCTATGAACTCTACACATAGCCCTATGATTTCTACACATTCTCCTATGAATTCTACAAATATTCCCATGAAGACACAAACGTAACCAAGAACAACTGTTGAACGTACAAGTTATACGGGGTGCCCAGTACAGCTGGATCGGGCCGATCGCCCAACTCGATCGCCTGAAACTGAAAACGGCCGATCCTGTCCGTAGTGGGCGCCCCGTATTAGGTTCACCAACTACACCCTAGCTTCCTTACTGCCACATTGACTCTACTGCCAGACACACACGCACTCGGTCTCCTGTAGGCTGACAACATACACCCAGTGCACACCATAGAAGTACACTAGTCTACAAAGGAGATAACTCTATGGTGCATACAGACAATTGAATTTATTACGCTACCTTAACTAGAATAACAAAGTTCTCTCTGCTCAGTAGCTAGGTTTTGAGAAATTTGACGAAAACAAAAACGTGTCGAGCTTTTTCGAATGCATTTCTTTGCATATCTTGTTAACTTTTCCGAATAAATATTAAGATTGTATAATCTTGCCATTTTGAGAGAGCAGATAGAACATTTAATTTTGCTTTATGAACTCATGATTTTTGTAACTCAAAACGGACAAAAATGTCAAATAGAATTTTGTAATTCTAAGGTAGCAGCTTGTCCATGTATGCCTCGTACTTTAAAAAGAAGATACAAAAGCTTTTTAAATTTATAGCTAAGACTTAAAGTTTCTATATTCCCAAATTTTCAATAGATATATTTTCTGAGGCGATCTCCAAGCTCACTTCCAGCCATTTTCTCTTCAAAAGCTTTGTTAAATCTTTCACTCTGTTCTACAGTGAACCGGGTCTTCCAAGATTTGACCAACCCCCTCACTACAACGTGCGCGTCCTCCCCAATAAACTTCTCTGGACCAGTTTTGGCTTTCTCCTCAGTCCCAGCCTTCATGTTGTCAAAGGACGTTGCCGTGGCTATCTGCTCGGCCAGGGTGTCCGGTTGACCCAGAAAACGACAGAGGTCCCTGATGACGTCAGCAGGCTGTTCCTTCAGCTTCTCGTACTGCGCCACAAACACGGGCACCTCAGGGTTGTCGGACATGAACTTCTCCCAGGCCAGGACGTGATCGAACCACGAACCCCACAGATACTCGCCGGCCAGCTGCAAGGAAAAAAATATGATGGGTTTTATTTTTGTTTTTTGTTTTCTTTTACAGAATGACGGCTGTGGTTTGAGCTCTCTCTCTCTCTCTCTCTCTCTCTCTCTCTCTCTCTCTCTCTCTCTCTCTCTCTCTCTCTCTCTCTCTCTCTCTCTTTCTCTCTCTCTCTCCCTCTCTCTCCCCCCCTCTCTCTCTCTCTCTCTCTCTCTCTCTCTCTCTCTCTCTCTCTCTCTCTCTCTCTCTCTCTCTCTCTCTCTCCCTCTCCCTCTCCCTCTCTCTCTTGTTCTTTTTTTAATGAATGTAAACGTTTTATCGTCCCCATTGACACAACCTAGACCATCCAGGAGGCAGGATTTAACCGTGCCTGTCAAGGCTAACCCGGATCGAGAGGGAACTATATTATGTCCCAACAGAAAGACCTAGATACTCGATAAAAAAAATCCAACCCACTTGGGGCTCAAAATATGGTTCTCCTTCGAGCGACAGCGAAGCGCCTTATCGCTGTACCACCGGCGCCGGTCCTTTTTCCCCCTACTGATGGCAATATGCGTGTTTAAGATTTCCCGAAGGGTGATATTATTTCATGGCGTACATTTCTGCAAACACATAGGCCTTGTGTCCCACACAATTGGAGAGATCTTAAAATGATTCCTAAATGACCTTAGTAGTGTTGATAAGGGCGTAAAATATCAACAATAATTATTCACTAAAAATCCTCGAGTGAGCTATCATCATTCTATCGTGTTCTCATTCTTCTCTGACTATTATTGTTAGAACATGGTTCAGCCTGTCCTCTGAACAAAAGGCTCTGAAAATCATAGTTATGAATCAACACACAAGAATTATAGAAGCGGATGCTTGGTGGGTGCTCTGGTGTGGTTTACTCCTTCTTTCTTATCAAACATCCATCATCCTTACCTCTCCTCCTTCAATAATTCTTTTTTTGTCGTTGTTGTTGTTCGTATTTGTTACTGTCTTGTAACACTTCTAAGCTACGCACTTACATGACCATAGTATGACCTAATTGTGTTTCAAGGGCTGTAAAACACTTACTATAACCAAAAAGACCAAAAGAACGACATGATTCACTCCCGTAATTGTGGGGGGGAGATGCTACTGCTGATAGACAAAGACATCACCTGTAATTCCAGGAACTCCTCCCAAGTTCCCTGAAAGCGCACGTTGTCCTGTTCGTACTTGGTGGACATCTCATACCACGAAACCAGCGTGTCCTTGGGGTTTCTCAAGATGTACACAACCTTCACTTGCTTTGCCACTACCTCCGTGGGCAGGTAATTCGGCCGAAGGTGACTCGTTATGATTTTAGGTTCCGGAAGGGCTTCTAATAGTTGGTCCACTTTGTCGTTCAAGAATTCCAGGAAAGAATTTTCAAGGAGCTCTTTTGAGAATTGCACGTTTTGAGTCAGGATCATCGATACGATCTCAAAGATCCAGTGGTTTCCAGATCGCATGTAGCCGCAAGATAAAACATCGCTTTCACGTAGTTTCGCTTTGGAGATATGACGCATTGTCTCGTCCACGTCTTTCACAAGGCCGTCGAAATAAGCAAATCGAATACCGTCGAATAGAGTGGACTCGATTAGTTCCAGCTTCTTGCGAGCTCTTTCCAGAACTTCTGCGTTTACAAACGATGCCATTTCTTATTACTTGTGAGTTTGGTCCGCTATCGGCGTCTTTTCCACCATCAAAGGCAGCTATTTCTAAAAGGGGTCGATAAAAGAAGGAAATTTGTCAACAGTCATAAATATAGCATCACAAAATTTCGAAAAATTATGTTTGTGTGTATATCCTGATAACCTATTTTGAAATAAATTTATATGCTTTTTTGTTTCAGTATCTTGAATTGTGTATGTTACTTATTGAAAACACAATAATTGATTGTGAATAAGAAACTTGAGCAAAATGAAGACTGCCAGTTCGCCTAGGGACGTGGGGTATATTTTGTATCCAAAGAATTACGCAAAACTTTGAACAAAACATGTAGTACAATTTTTTACTAGTTTGACCTGGTAGTCTATATTTTGCAGTGACGATGACAACTGAACGAGCAGCGGAGCTGGCCTACCGTGGAAAACTGCATCTCTCCTCGATGCTTAACGGTAACAGAGGATGAAAAAGTAAAATTAAAGTAAGTAGATGACTTATCTTTCTTGAACCAACCGATTCGCGAGTTCATTTAGGAATTTTACCAAATATAATGAATACATTAAAGAAATAAAATTCTGCTCATACAATGTATTGATTCTCGTTGGAAATAAATGGGCTTGTAGTGGCGTAACATTTTAAATCTTACACGGCACAGAATATACATAGATACATAACATACTTACCGAAACAGACATATATACACAATGTACTACAATCACGTAGCTGCTGGTCGTTACTGTGCAGCATTCTGTTTTGAAGGTTGCTTCTATCTTCTTTCTTTTTTCTTATTTGATAGGGGGATGGTTATTTTTGTTTCTGTGTGGAAAGGGGTGGGGG